GCCTCGATTCCGTGGAATCTACGAAGCTACGGAAGCATCCCTGAAACCAAGGCCTCCAGGCACTTCTTGCTGGCACCGGCTTCCTCAACCTGCAAACTCGGATCCACCGGCCACTGCTTGGATTGGCATGGACTGGCTACGGCCTTTTTTAAGGGATTCGGGCCTTTGCAGTCACATGCAAGTTAGCGAGTGTCACGCTGTAGCTTTCCCCTGCCAATACGTATGGCATAGCCTGCCTGGCAGATCCAACCAGTCTCCCCAGCCAGCTTCACCCAACCTTTGCCATTGGGCTCCAATGCGGAAAACTTTCATGCTTTTACGGCTCACTCTGCCTGCGCTTCACCGAGCAGTGCCAGAGCCTGCATCTAGGCCTGGCTGCTGTACACCTACCTCGTGACCGATTTTCTGCGATTGCAGCCAAAAGGCCGTCATGTTATGATGATGCAGTTGGGGCAGTTGCTACATTGCGAAAGCCTCAAACATTCACAAAAAACCAACACGGGACGCTCAGACCCAATGTGCTCGTTTTCTCCTCGGCTCCGGCCGGAGCGGTCAGAGGCTTTTACAATGCTATTGAGGGGAAGCCCTGAATTTTCGGGTGTTTGGGAGAGAGCTGTACCCCCTGCTGATCGGCCGAGGCTGACGACGTGCAATGGACTTCCTTCCCGTTGCTGCCGGTCAAGTAGCATTATACTGAGCCTTTTGCACCATGCGGTCTCGACAAACGAGTTGGACGTACTTAACACATGCGCATAAATGCAATGCATGTGCGCGTGCAACAAAACATGCGTGCGACATGCAGATCTTGGCGATGCACGACGTTCTGTGGTATCTGTGGTGCTGTCTGCTACAACGCACACCGTGACATGGGGCAACTTCTGGTACCTTGATTGTGGGGGCGCAGAGTCCGTCAAATCGAGGTGCTCCACATTGATGCAACCTACATGCTGGGGCCTTTGCCATCGAACGTCTCCTGTGGGCAAAATTCAATAGAGAGTCGGAGAGCAGCATCAAATAGATTTCTTGCGGCTATTCTACCAGAAACAGACCTCACTGGCCGGGATGACATGCGCCCTAAACTGACAAGCATGCAATGAACGTCATGACAAGTTGCCTGGTTTTTAAGTAGGACAGGCATGTCCCCGCTAGGCATCGCTAGATGTCCGGCCGTCTGGTTTCTTTGGGCTGCCTCCTGAGCATGGATCGTCTCCCCGCATTTTTTGCCGCCACAAACGGGCGCTCCGGAGCAAGGCCTCCGAAGCAAGACACTGCGTTTATGCCAGCTCCGTGCCCAATCAGCTTATTTTTCTGACTTGGAGTGCAGCAGAAAAGCCGGGATATTCACCAGCGATCCGAAGTGTGAAGGAAACAGGAGTCTGTAAAGACGCTTACATACTCCTGTTGTCCGGGCGGCCCACAACATGTGCATGGGTCGGAAGCCTTCGACTATTCCTCTCAAGACCTACCTTTCGAAAACTGAGCCATCTGTGGCTTCCTGAGAGAAGGGGCTCTGATTGAAATCAGCTTGAGCAGTTTAGCAGGATGCGCGACTGTGCCTGCCAGTTGCCCTCTACCTGCAGAAAACTATGGGCGTGTAATCTGAGCCAAGAAGCCTCGATGCCTCGATGTTTGTGAAACATTTCAAAAGCTCCGATCGTTCTTCTCTACTCCAGACAGCCACTTGCAGTGTTACATGGGCCCGCCACGGAAAGTGTGCTGTCGTGGTGTGCCACGTACGTCGCTCTCAAACGCGGGGGGCTGACGTTGCTTGTTCCTACGTTCCTGGGCGAAATTCAAGTTGCCCAAAAGGAGACGATGATCTCCGTGTTTTTGCTCTGAAATTCACGAGTGAGCAGCGGACTCGTCCCCGAGTGGTCCTGGCTGGAAACCCAATGGTCTGCCGGGCTGTGAGTGGAAAAATGAGTTTGATAGTTGCATCGTAGTCGTGATAGGGTCGTGACAGGAATGTCGACAGTTGTAGGCGGCAAGTGCACTCACCCTAGACGCGGCTGCAGAATCATGAGGCAAACCAAGGGTGCTTTCAGTACCTGGCATCTGTGATGTTCTCAATTTGGGAAGCTCCGGGCGACTTTTGGCGTTCGGGTGCTTCTGCGGTGTACTTGTTTGGCATCCCGGCTTCAACTGCCAGTTTTTGTTTCCTTCACAAATCCTCAACTTATGATGTCATGTGCTCCGGCGACGTTGTGCCCGGCTTTCGATCTTTGCTGGTTGCGGATGTGATCTAAGCCACGTCAACCGCCCGCTGACTCTTGGCATGAAACCCTGACCCGCATTGCCTACAATCTTAGACCCTAGAATGGGCCCACAACTTGTTGTCAATTTGCTGGAAGTGGCATCTGCCTCACTAAATGAGGACGAGACAGCGTGTGCAGAATGTTTCCTCGTCATCCAGGCTTGTCTTCGTTACAACTCTGCTGCAGGGGCTTCCTTTGACCTTGCATCTGCCCCTGATCTTCATGCGGAAGCTGCGTGGATTAACTAGATGACTTGAGCCGCCGACATGCTTCTGCTCCAATTCAACCAATGTTTGTAAATGTTTTGTGAGTTGGTGCTTGGCAATGCTTCAGTAAGACTCTGTGTGTGTGTGTGCGCGCGTGCGTGCCTGCTGGGATGCGAAGACTAGATGCGACACATACCATAATCGGACGAGGATCCATTCGCAGAGTAGGAAGGCGGCAAAGCCGTGGGTTGCAGCTGACTTGCAACCAGGGAGGTCAAATGGTGCAAGAGCAGCAGCCATGCGAAAAGCGCATCTGCCAACGCACCAAGAGAGTGAGGACTTACTAGTACTCGCAACAAACATGGCATGAGCTGCTGCCATCATACTACTATGAACGCCACCAACTCTCCGGCTTCCTGGAGGTTAGGTGACTCAGATGCCCTTCCGAAAATCAAGAGCTATTTCAAGGCGCGGTGCAAGGCTTAGATCAGTATCTCGTGTCATGTTTCTGAAAATGACATGTGCTGCGCACACAGCTCTCGAGCATTCTTCCGTCCCTTTCCAGCAAATGCCCGCTCTTCTCGGAGGCCCCTCCAGGGCTGAACACATCTCCGGCGTGACTCATTGCCTGCACAGTGGAGTTCAGTGTGGAGCTCATGTGTAGCAAGCAACATGTTTGCTAGGCCCAACCGCTTTCGTGAAGAAGATCATGCACTGGTGCAGGGAGCATAATATGTCCAAGATGCGACAGCCGCTCCTTGACAAAGTTCATCGTACACAGAGCGAATGCAGCACCCAAAAGTCTTCATGATGCACTCTGAGAAAGTTGTGTCAACGCTCTTGCGCGCAGCTGCTGGGGTAAAGCTTTCCCAAGCATGTAGGACTTTCCTGACAAAACCTGCAACTGTTGGCCTGCACTATTATGCACTCTCTGCAGGCTGCAAGTGCTTTAACCGCTGCAGGAAGTCCTCGACAAACTGCTGCTTTTGCACCAAGTCCTGCGAACATCTGGAAACCCAAACAACATTGCAACAACAAGGCCTGGTTGCCTGTCACAGCTGTCATATTGCTGCCCACCCAAGGCTCACGAACTCTAGTGATGTCGCAGCACAGCACAGGCCAAAGTGTTGTTGACAGGGGCCATTTCATGAGTTAATTGTGTCCTGCAGCGTGTACGCAATGCTTGTAAGATCGGTGTCAGGATCTGTGGTTCTTCCCCAGTTTCCTGATCCCGCACAAGGTCTGGGTCAAGCATGCCACCAGGATTCACAACATGAATCAGCACGCACGCGCAAACAAACAAACACACATGCACACACACACACACAAACACAAATACACATGCACACATACATCGGCTGTATGCGTTTGCTAGCGCTAGAAAACTGGGAAGTATGAGAAGTAGAAACACGGAATATCTATGTCTTGCGAAGCCAATCTAGTAGAGACGCCGCTGACTAGGTCTGCACTGCTGGCTGCATCCCCACTGTTAGCTCCGAGCTGTTTCAAGCTCAACACCACCTACAGCGCCTACAGTCTGCAGGGTAAGATAAGACAGGCCAGGACAAGTTGCCACCAGACATTTCGACGCGAACTCGCCTGAGTCAAATCTCACGTGCCGGCAAGCTGTGACATTGTGTCATGACGTTTCCAGCGATGCCATCTCAGGGGGATTCTACTTCTACTGGCTGAGCTGCGCATGTAAACAAGGCATCGGCAAACGAAACTTGTAACTGCACATATTCAACAAAGGCGCGATTTCTCAATGCTGAGTTGGCTTCTGGAGATGCACGTCATGAATACCTTGCAGCTGTGTTTCTACAGCATCAGAGAGCAGAAACGACCTTTGCCTTCACATTCCAGATACATGCCAAGACTCCCACAGGGCCAATGCATTAATGACTGTAGTCTATCGTGACTGCAACCGGGTCGGTAAGATTGCATCGACCGAAAGCCTGCCTCTGGTTCCATTCAAGACCCTTTCCAAAATGTGCAGAATTTTTGGCTCCATGCTCAGCATCCGTGAGGCTCAGCTGCTGATACCGCCAAAACTAAATAGTGCGGTAGCTTTGCGCCTGCTCGTGGCTAGCGAACCATTACTTTGTGTCCACTGGCCAGGAGCTTGCTACCCTGTGACGACTGATCGGGGATGCCGGTCCTAAGCTAAGGGTTGTGTAAAGCTGGATCGGAATGACACCTCGCAGCAAATCACACCACAATGCGAGCCCCAAACTGTGCCGACAGCTGAAAAACGGAAAAGACGAAAAGACACTCACGGCAATAATGAAGCCAGTGCCACAACTAAAACCACTTGCGATGGATTGGAGGAGACCGTCAATTGAGCTCCGAAGTGCACATGGTGTGGTTTGATTTTGTAACCTGCTACTCTTCACTATTGGTATTTCTGTCCTCGCGGCGAATAACCAATCCGAGTAAAATCCACTGACTGACTAGCATGCGGCGTCTACCCATCCTCGAAGCTAAACGCTCAAGCCGAGCGCTGCATGGAGGAGAAACAACTTTCAACATGTTGAGCTGCAAAGCGGTTCTGCACTGCAGCAATGAACTCGCCCATGTCAGACAGGTCCACGAGCATCAACTCGGTTACGCGGAACATGTTGATATCCCGTTGCTCTTTTGCAAGACAACGCTCAAAAAGCACACCTTTCCAAGGAGCCGAGGGCTTTCCTGACTTGTCGAAGGAGCGAAGATTGTACAACAAGTCAGTCAGAACCTCGCAGCCAAGGCGAAGTCAATAGTCAACGTGATGTGAACGTCATGCTTCGCTGATCAGGCAAGCCTGAATTCCGAAGAAAACTTCGGCACACGAGCAGAAGAGGGTTAGAATATCGCGACGATTGTCCCCGCTGCCAAGAGCTAGATCGAACTTCGTAGCCAGTTCTGCCCAGAAACATCCAACAGGGCTGTCAGACCGACCACGGGGTTAGCCTGCCATGAACGTGCTCTTGCCAGCCCTTGCTGCGCGGCATTCACGCAAGATGCAGCCGAGACAGCATGTGGCCTGCGCATTCGCCACGCAGTTCGGCAAGAACTCAAAAACCCATGCTGGCTCCTGGTCAGCCCTGTGCCATGGTTCCGTGTTCCACGTTTACCTGTCACTTAAAGTGCCCCGTCAGGCCCAATTAACGCGATTCTCAATGGAATTTGCGGGTCACCGTGCAAGTAGCTAGTGCTGCTGCTTGTGTGGCTTAGCGGTCCTCGATGCCATCTGCCAAGAAGTGATCGGTTAATGAGGTGCGCTCTCGTGCTCCGAGAGCCTCAGAAACTCCGAGCTCTATGAATCTTGCCGTGGCCGAAGCACTTGGCGACCGCTTTCACTTCGCTCTTGCACTGATCTAAAGCGGTGGCGAACATCGGCATCTCTGTCACGCACGGGCAGAATCGGCTAGCTAATCGTTGTGATGGCGAGGGGCTTGCCACGAGTTCTTCAGTGTCTGATAGCCACGATCATCCTGAATGCGCGCCAGACCTGCGCGTATTGCAGTCACCCTGTAACTGTAAGCCGCTATGCGCCCGTAACCTGTTGCTTGTTGCCGTGGGCTTTGCATCAACAGAAGCATTGCCCCCAAATGCAGAAGGAAATGCAACACTTAATGTTGCCGGACAGGGGCAATGAATACATCTTGACTAGTAGTGCGGCCAAAGCGCATGCCAATCGTACAAGGACCATGTCCTGCGATTGAGCATGAAAGAAGACGCGTCTACGCGGTCTGCAACTTGAAAAGCTCAGCAGGCAACCCCAAGCACTAACGTTTTCGCAAGCAAAGCTCTTCCGTTCCTGCATGTGCAACTGCAGTTCTCGCGAAACTCTGTGTCTCCAGATATTTTAGCTAAAGGAGTGCAAAATCAAATTGTGTCGTCAGCAGGGACATGGCTTCGCGCATGGTCTTGCATGAGGCATCTGCGATAGGATCACCGGTCACAGCAGCAGAGAGTAGAGACGCTTTTGGTCACAAACCGACAGCTGCTGACGTCTGACAATCGACTTCATCGCAATCGAGCACAATCTTGAAGACAAAACTCTAGCGTTGCCCGTCCTCTGGAGTGTTGTAGGGCAATTTCAGTTTCGTCGCACGAAGGCCCATGTACCCCCAGTAGATGCTGGTGGGGTTTACGTTCATGAGCCGCTGAAGCATTCCTCGGAGGACCGGATCTGTAGCATGTTGCATACAAGCAGCTGATGTGTGAAGCGCAGGCAGCCACAAAACACCCGTGTGCACGCCGCCATGCGATACATCGTGGCCGAAAGCATGCTCTCGCACCTTCAACCAGCTACAGCTGCAGGGCTCATTATGTTCATTGCCATGTGACGAATGCCACCAATTGTAGAATCAGCATTCTTTGCATTCATAAAGCGGGACCCATTGCCAGCAGCAAGACCGCTCATGAAACCCAGCAGGAACAGGATGTAGAATCGGAAAACTGCATCACCTGTCATGAATGCAACATGAACCAGAATTACCTCGCCAGCTACACGGGTGCAGCGTCGCCACGACCCGCCCCCCCCCCCCCCCCGCCGCCGCCCACTCCTATGGTTTGGGTGGGTGGGTTGTGGTTTGGTTGACAATTGCCTTGCCTCTCTGTCTGTCTCTGTGTGTGTTTTGTGTGTGGGCGTTTCTCCCCCCTGTTTGGGTGGGTGCCTTCATGCAACCTGGATGTCCTTTAGCAGGTTTGCTCTTCGTCCAGACTGCCCCTCTCGACTTGTTCAACAGCTACCAGAACAGTAGAGCACCCATACCCATGCCCAAAGCTGTTAGCTGTTGGCACTGTTGAAGCGACCCATTCCTGGTGTCTGTCTGTTGGCATTCTGCCGTATTGCCAATCGCCTCCAAACCACACCATGGGAGAGGCTGCGTATACGGAGTGGGAACGGCGATGGGGCACTTGGGATGTGGCGACAATGGGTGATTCGTCAAGCTGCGAAGTTCTAGGAACTGGAACGACCCGCTTGCCTTTCAGCTCGATGTGCTCGCGGAGTTGCTTCACGTTCGCTGGGCAGTTCTCTCCCTGCAACATCTGCCTTGGAAAAGCGGATCTCCCAGACAGCACGACACTAGCCGCCGAGAGAAGCGAAACAGGTGCGTTCAGGATGTGAAAGCAAAACGATCTGCCCCTGGCATGACATTCTCATTAGTATGCTCATTGCCCCAATTAGACAGAGTGCGCCAAGTTGAAGAGCTCGTGGGTCAAAAGCGCCTCCTGCGAGAGTGGATGTCATCATCACTGTCATCCTCATCAACGGCGTCAACACTGCCGCTACAAATCAGATGGCCAGATTTGTCCAAGAGGGCTGCCTGCATCCGGAGAACATGCATTTAAATTTATAGCTGCGGCTAGTCGTTTGCACGAGCGCAGCCCCCAAACAACATCCATGCCCCGTCCTCCACATAAGCCTGGCTCCTTTGAGTCAGCCACCGCACAGATGGCACTACATTCTCGTAGCCTGCAGTCAGCGTCCCGACAGGACCGTGCAACAAATCAGATATCAGATAACTCAAGAGCTAGTTAATTAATTACACAACATAAACAGATCACACAACCGACTCAACGCCTACACCACACAGGCGACCTTAAAGCGAATAATGGTCTGAACCTGGTTTCAAAACTCAGCCCAGTTGCCGTTCATCACCTGCACTACGGCCCTCTCCGGGCGCCGGCTCTCGACTGGGAGCTGCTGGAGGACTGCCTTTCAAGGCTTGCGCGGCCTACTGCAACTTTGCTTTGTTCAGAATGCATAGTAATGTAAGCAGAAAGATGCTTCATGTCAAATGCTTTTCTTGGAGTTTTTTAGCATAAATGACGGAACATCCCTTGCACTGCCATGTCAGGCAGGTCGCTTTGGACTTGCCCAGCGCCCTTATGGCCAAGAGCACCTGAAGCTAACGAAACTGCACAATGCATTAGCGATGATTGCGTCGGCTGTGTAGTCGTCATCGGTTACATGGCGGACAAAGATGGAGGCTGCAAGTACAGCTTGCTTCGGCACATGCACGCCGGGACTGACAACAGCTGGTCTCCCCGTAAGGAAACCTCAAGAACCTAAGAACGTAAACCGGCCAAGCTGAGCTCCATGCCAGTACAGCCTGTAGCTGCTGCGCATCAGGCTCCTAATCATCAAGCACCAAATCTGAGTGCTCGCAAAAACAGCATCATTGATAGCTCTGCATGCAGTATCACGCAATATCGAAAACATCAGCAGAGCAATGCTGACATGCAGTCCCAGCGGCAATCCAGGTCACGAGTTCTTGAAGCTCTTCCCACTGTGATTGCTTCAGCTTCACATTCCTTGCTTCCAACGCTGCCAGATGCAAATGACACCGTGAGTTTAGCTGTCAGCTACTTCCCCACTCGGCTGAACAACAAGCTGTTTCTCGGGCTCTTCGTGACGCCGACACATGTGAATCAATGCAAGGGGGAATCTCGTGTAGAAACTCATGCACTGCAATGCTCAGAGTTTGCGCATGCGGCGAGGACGCTGAAGTTTCAGAGCATTTCTGCAGGCAAATGTCTTGCCCTGGGGCTCCGTGAAGATGTCGTAGCGATTCTTCACAAGCGCAAGAACCTTGTGACACTTCAGGCGGCCATGGCAATCTAACGAACTCAATGAATCAATCATACCAGAATCGTCTTCGGCTTTGCAGGACGCTATCTTTCTCATGATTTGCAATCGACTCCGCCCCTGGATGGGGCAAGCCTTGCCCACAGTGTACTTGGATCGTACTCACCAGCATGGAGGCCGAGGGACGCTGATGCAGGAAGATGAGCCCCTCTCCCTCTCACCAGCCTCACGTAAGGCTGCTTTTGGCACGAAGCTTGAGCAAGGGTGGCTGTTTCCAGTGGGGCCACTAGGGGCATGCACCGTGATGTGTACGCCAGACTCAGAGTCAAATCAGATTTGCAAAAAGACAACGCTCTCGGGGCGAAGCTCACGACCAATCATTGGTGCTGGGCAGGTTTTCACTAAGTCCGAAGGGGAATTTGTCTTCACACTGTGTGATGCGCATGGCCTGTTCGAAGATGTTATGCGGGCTCCACACAGGGTGCAGCTCTGGAATATGCTTCTCGAGCTGATGGGGCAACCTGGCATGACAAGTCATCCGGAAGCTTGTCAGCGTGGGTTTGCCGCGAGCTGCCAGGAGGCGTGTTTCAGGTTCTCGTATTGAGTTAGTTCATCACATCGTAGTCTTCGGCAGGCAATACATGCAGATAACCCTATCCGAGACAATACTTTGCAGGGCCCACTTCTCTGCATCGAGGCCTTGGTGCAATATCGCGTCCACAAAGTCGTGGAGTCCTGGCGAGAACATCGCTGTGCGAACGTGCACGCTACTTCAAACTCCTTCACCGAAGGAAAGGGGGAGGGTCTGGGAAGAGCTCTGGCAAAGACTGTCTTCCGACAGCACAAGACCACAGTACGATGTAGTGACAATGCAGTAAATGTAGTAAAGCGTGTGCGGTCTATGAGGCACACACACGCACACTGTTGGCTCCAACCCCAACAACTTCAACAAAAGCCCGGCATTCTTCGCCTTGCGATATCCTCACACTGTCCTGGATCCTCTGCAGACTCTACTCGTGGATGTGCGGCACCGCTGCCATTCGTGACAGTGGAGCCTCAGCAACAGCGGCAGGGGCTGCCCTAATACAGAACCACGGAAGAGAGCAATGTGACATCTGCAGCTGAGAAACTTTCAGAAGTCAGCCGGCTGAGCACCAAAGAGCTGGCCGATGCCGTCTTGTGGTACTGACGCTTTGCTGCTGCTACGAGCTCCTCGCCCAGCTCCAGCATGTCGTCCTCCTCCTCGTGAGTTTAGTGGTTAGTGCGAAGGCAGCACTCTGCAATCCCATACCCCTTGTATGCACACCGTATTTCTCTGTATCTTTAACATGCAGTGGAATGCCTCGCAGCATCTGTACACCGTTGCGGGGCAAGTGATCTGGCTGCCAGTGTTTCGCACTTTTGCAAGTCGGGGCCCCTGGATGGCTATGGACCGGGAAAGCAACTTTCCGAGTCAAGAACCACAAGCAGATAGAACGGCACAAATCGAGAACGACTTGAAAACAAAACCTCGATGACAATGTAACCAGCGGTGCACGGTGTCCTTCTTCGGACTCTGCATCTCCGCCGCATGGACGATGATGTTGCTGAAAAGCTTCTTCGGATCAGGGTAGAGGGCCTTGCAATTGCAAGCTTGGGCTGGCACGAATACGCTACCAAGGTCCGCACCGGCACGCACGCGCATGCACGCAGCCCCCCCCACACAACACACACACACACAAACACAAACACAAACACAAACACAAACACAAACACAAAAACACACACACACACACACAACTACACAGAGGGACAGGCCTGTGCAAGACCTACACATGCATACATGTCCCTC